ACCGACTGTCCCCTCGGCCCTGGGTCTACGAGGATGCCATATGACATGTTATGATGTTTTGCTGTGGTGTCTGAGGTGCCTTCTCAATATTGTCAACGTTTGCAAAAGTATAGCCAGTTTAATGTAGAGAAAAATTATTAAAGGTGTTTTTTTTTTTTCTCATGCCTGGTACTTGTACTTTAGGTGAAGGATAGGACTGAGAGGAGCCATTTCAGTAGGCTTGAATACCAGCTGCTGTTCGGGAAATGAGCCCGTGCTCCTCCCCCAAAGAGACAATCTCTTTTCAGGTCCCGAAGACCGAGGGGGGCGGCAGATATCGAGCCTACCATTTCAGTAGCAAAACTAAAAAGACAATATGAATCTTTATTTTTCACCATAGATTATTAACCTTGCAAGCAAGCTCTCCATTTGGGGGATGTTGCAAGAAGTGACGGCGTGCGTAGCAGGCTAACTCATAGGGCCCTCGTAGATAGGCTCATACTCGGTATAAAAAACCTGTGAAACTCAGGAATGACGTACTACAATTACTGCAAAGAAGCCACTGAGAAGTCTACCCAATAGAACCAAGGAAAAAAGCTAGAAAACAAAGAAAACTTCACAGGTTACCAAGGATGACTCCATTATATGTAGCACTGAAGTATTAAGAATTATATGAATATAACAATTATATGTACCATCTCGAAATTCGGGGAGGGGTGTAAAGTCTCCTATCGCACCCGTTTTAAAGTTCCTGCAAGCATTTGTTATCATCTCAGAGTGATTCCATTGAGTTATGTATACAGGAACCTATTGCACCGGCTATATAATATTAGGTGAAGCTTATTGCAATATTATTTTTTGTTCCAGGAAAATCCTAAAGGTAACATTTTTTCCACAAATGGTAACAAAGGTTTCCAGCTAGCACTTATTTCCTCGAATGAATTAAATATTGATTATTTGATTTAAGTGGCACGATGTTGTTTTCATTATGACATCATTGAACAAATTTTGATGAATTCTTACCCATTGTGGTAATTTGTTATGGCTGGTAGTCATTCACAGTCACTCAAGGGTAACTCATGTGTACTTTTAGAAACTGTCCTGCAAGACCCTAAGAACAATAAAACTCATAAAAGTGGGTCATTCCATAGGGCAAAGAGTAGCCTGTGTACAGCCGCCCCTCCCCTCAAAAAAATTTTGAGGGGAGGGGCGGCTGTACACAGGCTAGGCAAAGAGATGGAGAGAAACTTGCGGTAGTTTTTGAGTTGCTGGTGGGGTACTCTTGCAAAATTTGGATGGAGATGCATGGCATGCATTCAAAAACCTTGACCCTATTTTAAATCTATCATGTGATTTTTTGTACCCTGTACTTTCACACCTGAGCTGATCTTCTTTGAAAGAGGCATATCTGACCCAACTCCAGACCCTGACTAGAACGCAAAAAAGCGTTACTCTACGTCAGATCCAAACATTTAAAATCCATACTCAGTTTAAAAGCATAAGGGCTAAAAACTAAACCCTTTTAGGTCGCAGATACCAATTTAGTAAAAGGCAGTACCCTCCCCCAGTTCAGGAGACAATATCCTGTTGAATAAGGGACCGGTCATTATTTATGTGAGGGGGTGGGGGGGAAAAATCATGGGGTGGGCCAGGCCTATTTTTTTTAGAGAAAAGGGGTGGGTCATTGTGTGTGTTTTGTAAAGAATCACACTCACTACAATTCATGTGGAAGATCTAAATAAATTCTAATGCAATGCTGGACATAAAATATAACACAACTGGATGTCATATCTAGCAATCCAATCTAAGTATGGAGATTCAAAGATGTGGGCACTAAATATCAATAAATAAACAGAAGCCCTTATTGAGAAGGCTTGCATGCTTCCTGTTCTTAATATAACTGTCTGGGAACTTTTACTACCTGAAGCGTGAACACCTAAAAATCATTATTAGTTTCAATAATGGATTATTGAATTCCTTATTCAATTTAGTGAAATCAAATTTTTCCAATTTTCAAATCAAAAATAGTTTGAAAATTCGTTTTTTTTATTGAATTACTATTTTTTGTTTAAAGGAGCAAATTTTTTTAAACTGGTTTTGATTTGAATATTGCAAAACTTATTTTTTCAATAATCGATTAATGAAATCAATAATGATGTCTAGGTGTTCACGCGTCAGGTAGTTTGACTGTAGAGGTATAGATTGAAGGGGGATGGGGTTGGGTCACCTCTTATATAAAGTTATATGGGGGTGGGTCAAGAGATAACTAATGGGCTTAAAGGGGTGGGTCACGTTTTTTCTTTCATGCAAAAACAAAAAAAATCCCCCCCACTCCCCCACATAAATAATGACCGGTCCCTAACTGATAAATTATTGAAAAAAAAACAAAACTTTGAGGGATAACTAATCCTGCAGATCCTTCATCAAACACGGATTCTTACAACTATCGCAATCACCTTAGTCGTTGTCCGCCACATTTTCTCCATTTTTCCAAAATCCCCTTCCAAACTGCAGTCCAATCCCAGAGGTCCAATCCTGATTTTACCGCAAGTTTTGCATGATGAAAACTGGGCACTAATAAGGGCTCAGTTTTCGCGCTTTTCGCTGAAAACAAATTTTACATAGCACATAATTTCGACGGAACGTGTGGTGGGGTTGTTTGTCTTCAGGACCGCAACAAAAACATCCTAACAGTCTCTACAAATTGACAGCTTCGTTTTGAAGTTTTTGAATTCTTTGTTTTGTTTAGAGGAATTCATTTGTCGTTGTTTTCACTGGCTTAGCCTCTTTCATTCGGCGACATCATGTGTGGTATTTTGTCCGTCACCGATCAAAGTAAATGATCGTATTAAGAAAGCAATACAGATAACAATTGACCTATCAATGGATCTGGAAGAACTGTCGAACTTTTGGGCAAGGTTTCAGATTGCCTTTTCATGGGATTACCCCGAAGGACTTGATGTACAGACTGTACAATCGGCGGTCTTTCACGTAGTAGGCGATGGCGAAACCAGGTAAGCTCTTTATCATTGACGAACCTATTTTGTATACTTACGTATTAATGTCGTTAACGTTAAAATCATGTGAATTTTGTAACGGCAACGAAGGTTAATCGTCTCAGTTTGAATCAAGGTCTCGTTATATTGAGATCGATCGCTAAAATAGTATGGGGCTTTTCAGAGCATGTATTGATGTATAAAAAATACCTATTTCCTGTGGGGAGGAAATTGTTCGCGCGAGAATTTACAGCTTTATATGTAGCGGGCCACAAAAACAGTTCATTGAATTAATCCCAAGGGTGTTTAAATAAACATACTGTCACAATGAGAGATCGGTTTGTCTTCAATAAAGCGCTTTGAGATTTAGCTTCTCTCCCGTGTTAGTAGATCGTAGAACGTCGTTCTTTATTATTTCCTTATAGCATTTTTCTCATTCAAACCAAGGAACTAATGTTTTGCAAGCATCAGGGGGTCACATATAATTTCTTCTTTCTTGTCACGCGATTTTGCGAGATAATTGTCTTGTTAGCCTCGGAGTTTTTCCTAAATGCCTCTTAGTAGATTCACTATAAGTGCTTTGACCATTAAGTTTCCAGACAAACCCCTGTTCCAATTATCTGCTTGTCAAATTCTCTTGCACATGCACATGTTAATTTTACTGTTTGAAATGATAATTAGGTTCATATTTTTAACTTTCTCAAAATAATTTGTTTCTGGTATCATTTTCAAAATATTCTATAAAATAAAATGTAATAGCTAGATGGTCATTTTTGTTATGCATCAGATTTTCATATCCATGAGTCGTGGTTGTAACTGATGTCACATTTTTTCCCAAAAGAATATTTTTTGAGTAAATGTTATTCTCTGGATACTTAGGTAAACATCAACAAAAGCATTGGTAATGCCTTTTCAATAAGCACATTGTGTGTATGTGTTCTCATTAACTAGATTCATTTATTATGCAAATAGTCACTTGTGAACAGTCTTTGATTTATTATTTTGAGTTAATTAATAGCAGGGTTGTCAGAAAGTTTTGAAGTAGTCGGCTGAGTTGTCAAAGTAAGCGGCTAGTCAAGAGATATTTTACTTAAAAAACACCATCCACAAAGAAATGCCAAGCAGAGTAGCCGGCCGATTCTAACTAAGTAGGCAGCGATTTTCGCGGGCAGCTGGCTACTTTTGACAACCCTGAATAGAGGTTGCCAAATGATAGTTTGGTTGAGCTGAGAAGGTTTTATGATTACAAATTTCCATTTTTATAAATTTGAAGGTTACATAAATATTTATGTCTAATAATTATTAACACATGTAACAGGTAACTGATTTGGAAATCTTACTGCCCAAGAAATATGCTACAGGACATTATTATGATGTACAGTGGCAGTTGTGTGTCTTCAAAATGGATCTTGCATAATTTGGGCACCCTTTGGCGAACTATTGGTCAACTCAATCAGCCAATACTTGGTTGACATGACGGCCAACTCTCAGTCAACATCCTAGCGGGGGTACTCCAGATTTCAAGTAATGGAGATAATCAAATGGGGGCAAAAATCAAAACCCAAAAATCCCTAGGGCTTTTAACAAAACCCCAGAAAATCCCTGAACAAAAATTAACCCTCAAAAATTCCCATGCTGAATTTCCGAGCCTTAAAATTTTTCAGAAAACATTAAAATAATGATGTAACACGAAAAGTAAATTAGAAACTGAATGTTTGTGTTTGCAGCTGGGATACGTGGGCACTACCACAAATTAAATCTTCAGATTGTTTTGAATACACCAAAAAATCCCCACTTAAATCAAGCCACCCAAAAAAATGCTTGCCAAATGAGGGAAATGCTTTTTCCACCCCCAAAAATTCGGGAATCAAAAATTTCAAACCCAAATGAAAGAAAGACTATCGTCAACTCGTGGGTACGTTGTTTAGAAAATAATCAATTAGTTATCACCTCAGGTTTTCCCACAGTGAATTTTAGGAAATGATAGAAATTCATATTATAAATATAATATCCTTGTTCTGAAAA